TGGGCATTTCAAAGATATATGGGTTGGCCCTGATTCATGTCAACATCCACATTTTCTAGGAACTAAGGCACAGAAATGAAATGACTCTATAAAGGTCATGCACTCATATAGTGCAGAGCCAGAACTGTCTTCAGATGTTATCATTTCTAGTCCCCTATTCCCCACACCTTGCTGCCTGCATTAATGCGTCCTGCATTTTGACTTCTCTCATTTGCACCAAGAAATAATTGGTGCTATTCACTGATTCTTCAAATAAACTGGAAATTTCCTGAGGGCAGGGTCTGTGAGCTTGGAACACGTAGATGCCAAATTAATGTTAGTTGATTCACTGACGCTAATGTAGGGGAAAAATTGGTGCAATAACATCTTGAATGGGTACATGACTAGGGTGAAGGATGTTCACAAGGCCAAGAGCTTTCCTTTAAGGATTAAATCCAGCTAGCTCTGATCAGAATCAGAGAAATACCATAGGAAAAAACAAGTTTGTTTTGGATCAATGTTTTCCCAAAGTTCAATCATGAACCTTCTCATACCTAAAAATGCCTGTATATTTAATATAGGTATGTTTTCCCATTACTTATTAAAATAAATATATGACTACTGAAAACATTTTAAATATTCTAAGAAACTAAGCCATGAGGAAACACTGTACTTGACCACTTTCTTGGTCCTGTCTGGGGATAGGAGGAAAGATAACAGGACTCAGATGTTGGAGAAGAATTTGGTTTCCTGTTGAGAAAGTAAAGAGGACTTATTAGTCCATCAGCATTTCCTGGATTAGGTGCTGTGGGCATGGAAGACGAGAGGGCACAAAGCCTGCTCGGGAAGAAGTGGCCATTTAGGGGAGAGGACGGGATGCCAACTAGGTTGGTAAAAGAGGGCTGCTAGGGTCATAGTGGTGCCAATTTACAAATGCAAATCCACTGGACCAGAGATAGGCCAAGAGAACACTTAGAGATAATGACTCTTACCCTTCATTTTACAGAAGTGGAAACTAAGGTCAGAAAGTGAGTGGATATGAGCAAGGTCACCTGAATGTGTAAATAAGGACCAGGGCCCAAACACCCAGGGTGTCTGTGGCTAGGGATCCACCACATGTTAATGTTTTGTTTAGTGTATTTCTGTTGAGGGGCGGCAGAATGTTCCTTGGGTACCCAGTTTGGAAGGTGGATGTAGAACATAGGCAGCTGGATGCCATGAGTTAAAAGCCATCATGGCCAAACATGGGCAGGTAGAAAGCATCCATGATTTTTCTTTGGACCCTTAGTTGGATCAAGAAGATTGCCTCTCTGGCTGAAAAACAATGATTGTTAAAAAGAAATGAGAATTGGGGAGATTTGAACACGGATTCAGCATTCACAGATAATGAGGGAGAATTGTTAAATTTTAAAGGGATGATAATGGTATTGTGATTCTGTTAAAGAGACACATATTTATGTATTTGTGGATAAAATGACACAATGTCACTTTGCTTTAAGAGAACCTAGTGGTAGGGGAGTGGTTGTGGAATCAGGTTGAGGCCTGGAGAAACAAGTGTGGCCTTGATTTGATACTTGGTGAAGCTGAGTGATGGGTACATGGACATTTATTAGACTATTCTCTCTCTTTTTGTGTATGTTTGAACTTTTCCATCATATAAAGTGAAGGAAAAGATATAATGATCCCCAAAGTACTGTAAGTCTTTTGATAAATCCATGGTGGTTTCCCATGTGAGTACTTCACACATAGAAGGTAAGGGAGTCAAAAGTGGGTTTGTGTCTTAGTGAAGGAGCTAGTGCTGGTTATTTAACTTCTCTGAGTTTCAGCTTCTCCATCTGTAAAATAAGAATAGTAATAACATCTTATATGTCAGTGCAGTGAGGATAAATTAATTTAGTAGGTAGAATGCTCAGCTCAGGGCCTAGCATGAAATCAAGGCTCAACGTTTGTTTCCTTCTTCCCTTTCCTTCTCAGGACTGGGATGCACATGTTGACTAAAACCACATTTTTCCATGTTGATAGCTTCTGGAGTCAAATCCTGCTGAGATAAAGCATTGGTTCTAGTGCAGGGATGGAGAGGACCTCTTAAGATTCACTCCTGCCAGGCGCCATGGCTCACACCTATAATCCCGGCACTTTGGGAGGCAGAGGCGGGCAGATCACAAGGTCAAGAGATCAAGACCATCCTGGCCAACATGGTGAAATCCCGTCTCTACTAAAATACAAAAAATTAGCCAGGCATGGTGGCGCGCGACTGTAATCCCAGCTACTCCGGAGGCTGAGGCAGGATAATTGCTTGAACCCAGGAGGCAGAGGTTACAGTGAGCTGAGATCGTGCCACTGCACTCTAGCCTGGCAACAGAGCAAGACTCCGTCTCAAAACAACAACAAAAAAACCATTCATACCTTATTGGCTTTGACTAATCTTCCCAGAAATCCTGGATCTCAGGACCTTAAACCTACCAGAAAATGGTCCAGGTTATCCACCGTGAGGTGCATTCTGATCACAGACAGCTACGGGAGCCAATCTGCTTCCCCAATTGACAAATGTGAAATCCATGGAGGCTGAATTTTTTAAAACTAAGTAAGATTCTGATTGCAGAATGCCCGCATACCCTTGCTATCTGGAAGATTGAGCATATCCTTACAAAGTTAATGACATGTGCTTATTGCAAAGTTAATGGCATAGAACTGCATCTTCTATTTATCTAGCTCTTTAGGTTTTAAAGAATTCTAACCAACTTTATATACCATGCAAATTGTATTTCTCTCTCTACATACGCATACACACATATATAAAATGTAGCTAGCCTGGCTTGTTTTTTATTTTCTCTATCTGCGCAGTTGTGAAAATAACCTAAGACATAAGGAATTGATATCTGGAGAATATTTTGATATACTTGGATGAAGCACTTTTGGTGTATTTGGAAGTAGCTATCATGATCTTTCTATTTAAATTCATTGCTGCAATCGCCTCTTCTCCAGTGTGCACTCCACTTGCTCACTTCTTTTTGAATACATCTTATAATTCTTGCATTAGTGAAATCTACTTTTTCTGATAACAATACCTTACGGTTCTTTGGCACTGTTGGTTTTAAAAATATTTTTGCATTTTCTCATTTAATCCTCACAACAGTGTTGTGAACTAAGCAGGGCACATATTATTTCCATTTTACAAGTACATTTCATTGGCTTTTCAATGTTGGAAGGTGCCTTTAAGATCATGGAGCCCAACTCCCTCTTTTTCACTCGTGAAAAGTCTGGGGGTCAAAGAGGATTAGAGAGCACTCTGGTTTCAAAGTGCCCATCAGTGACAAAATCAGGATGAACATTCTTGTGACCTTTCAGTCTTTAATGCTGCTGTAACCCTCACCTAAGCAAATTGCATATTCTGCATTACTTAGAGCTGTCCTAACCACCTGCAGCCAGGATCACCTGAGGGAGCTGGTTAGAAATGCAGATTCCTGGGCCACACCCCAGTCTGAGTGATCAGACTCACAATGGGAGGCTCAGAAATCTGCATTTAAAACTCACTGGGGTTATTCTTCTGTACTGGGACGTGTGAAAGCTACCAACTCATTGGAGTTAAGCTCTGTGGATCTGAACCCCGTTTTATGTTGTGGTCTTGAGGTCTGTGGCCACCATCATGAATTCTTCAGGGTCCTTGGCTGGCTGTATCACCACATGTTGAATGCTCATTGCTCAGTGATATGTCTGGGATGGTTTTTCTTTCCTTCCAAAATTATTAGTTAGACTCTGCTTTGAGTCTAGCATTGCGTTGGAAGCTGGAGTGGATGTTTAAGGGGCTGCTAGCAGAAAAGACTCAAGGGCGGCTAAGAGTGAAGGATATGCCCAGATGGGCAAGAGAGAAGGCTGGGCTGATCAATGGCACCACCATTTCGGACACAGCAATTTGGGTGGCTGTTTGGATGGTTCATGCTGCTTCTCTGCTCATGCTAAGTGAGAGTACACACCTGTGGGCATTGGCCCTTGAGAACAGTGTTTGTTCCTCCTTTAGGTAACAGAATGTGCTAGAGCCCATGCTTAGTGCTTTTGTACATTACCTTTTTTAATCCTAAAAATGTCTCTATGAGGCCAGGAGTAAATGCAATTATCCCAATTTGAAATTGTGGAAATTAAAGTTCAAATAACTTGCCCAAATTCTTGTTAACTGGTAAGTAGTGAGTCAGAGACTCAAAATATTTGGTTGACTCTAAAATCAATGCTTTTGACCTCCATAATATATAACTGTTTCTCACTATTCATGGATTCCATATTTGTAGATTTGCCTACTTGCTAAAATGTGTATCCACCAAATCAATACTTACAGCACTTTTATGGCAATTCTCAGACATGCACAGAGAGGTGAAAATTTGAGTTGTGTAAGGCTGAGTCCCCAGCCAAGGAGCCTTCTTGTTTCAGCTCTCAGGCTAGAAAATAGTGTCCATTGCACAGTCGATCTAGTGCCACTTTTTTTTTTTTTTTTTTTTTTTGCCTTCTTATGCATTTTGTTGGTGATTTTGCTGTTAAAAATGGCTTCCGCGCCATTCCAAGTCAAGTGCTGTCTAGTATTCCCAATCACAAGAAGGCTATGCTGTGCCACGTGGAGAAAACACAGGTGTTAGAGAAGTTTTGTTTGGGCATGCGTAACAGTGCTGCTGACGTGAGTTCGATGTTAATGAATCAATAAACAATACGCACTAAATTAGGTTATGTATTGTTTGGTTGACAAAATTGTGACCACAGGCTCCAGGAATGTAGCCCTCTATTTCCCGTAGGAGCAATGGTTCTATATTTGGTAATTCAGTGTTGGAGATGACTTAATAGAACGGAGCTCACTGGAATGACAAGGATCCGCCACATTTCCTTGTGAGGACCCCAAGAGGCAAAAACACCCAATATGGCCAGGCCAGACAATCAGACGGGGTTATCCGGGGATGTCCTGGCCCCTTACTTTGTCAGCCAGCCCCGAGTGTGTCCGTCCCATCGTTAACGCTGGCCTTTCCCATTCTCTCCCGCAGAGGGGCACAGCCCAGCCCTTCCCGAGGCTCCACAACTTGCACAGCATCCCTCGCTGCGTGCAGCAGGCCGCCCTGCCCCGGCTGAGTCGCAGGATGGCGAGCCAGCACTCCTACCCGCTGAACCACTTCTCCTCTGTGCCCTTAGACCCCATGGAGCGCCCCATGTCCCAGGCCGACCTGGAGCTGGACTACAACCCGCCGCGGGTGCAGCTCAGCGACGAGATGTTCGTGTTCCAGGACGGGCGCTGGGTGAATGAGAACTGCCGCCTGCAGTCTCCCTACTTCTCCCCATCCGCCTCCTTCCACCACAAGCTGCACCACAAGAGGCTGGCCAAGGAGTTCGTGCTGCAGGAGGAGAACAAGTCTCTGCGGGAGGAGAACAAGGCCCTGCGCGAGGAGAACAGGATGCTCCGCAAGGAGAACAAAATCCTGCAGGTCTTCTGGGAGGAGCACAAGGCCTCGCTGGGCCGGGAGGAAAGCCGGCCCCCCTCACCGCTGCCGCAAAAGGACAGCGCGTCCCTGGAGGTGGTGAAGAAGGACCACGTCGCCCTGCAGGTGCCCCGCGGCAAGGAGGACAGCACCCTGCAGCTACTCCGGGAGGAGAACCGCGCGCTGCAGCAGCTGCTGGAGCAGAAACAGGCCTACTGGGCCCAGACAGAGGACGCAGCCGCCCCCGCCGAGGAAAGCCAGCCGGCCCCCTCGCCCCACGAGGAGCCCTGCAGCCCCGGGCTGCTGCAGGACCAGGGCTCCGGCCTCTCCTCCCACTTCGAGGAGCCCAGAGGGCCCCCGGCCCCGCAGGAGGACTCCAAGACCCTGCGCGCCCTGCGGGAGATGGTCAGCAACATGTCCGGGCCCTCCGGGGAGGAGGAGGCCAAGGCGGGCCCGGACCTGCCCGACGGCTGCCAGCCCCTGCAGCTGCTGAGAGAGATGAGGCAGGCGCTGCAGGCCCTGCTCAAGGAGAACCGGCTCCTGCAGGAGGAGAACAGGACCCTGCAGGTGCTACAGGCGGAGCACAGGGGCTTCCAGGAGGAAAACAAGGCCCTGTGGGAGAACAACAAGCTGAAGCTGCAGCAGAAGCTGGTCATCGACACCGTGACCGAGGTCACCGCGCGCATGGAGATGCTCATCGAGGAGCTCTACGCCTTCATGCCGGGCAGGAGCCAGGACCCCAAGAAGCCCAGCAGGGTCTGAGGCCTCCGCCGTGCACCGGGACGCCGAGTTTGGGACACCGAACACTGAGCAAAAGAGAATCCCCTGCCTGCCTTTGTCGTCCTCGCCTTTCCCAACTAGTTCGTACCTATTGAAAAGCAGCGTTAGCGGCCTTCCTAAACTCAGAGTATTAATAAAGGTGTGAGGAGGCTGGGGCCAGTTGACACCAGCATGCTGCCTTTTTCTTTGGGTTTCTTTGTTTCATAAGAGATAGACAATATTTTAGAGCAGTTTTGGGTTCACAGCTAAATTCAGCAGAAAGTACAGGGAGTTCCCACAGACTCCCACTCCACAAATGCATAACCTCCCGCATTATCACCATCCCTCCAGAGTGGTACACTAGTGACAGTCTTTGAACCTACATGGACACATCATAATCATTCCAAAGTCTGTAAGTTTGCATTAAGGTTTGCTTCTGGTGTTGTACATTCTGTGGGTTTGATTAAATGTATAGTGACATGTAGCCACCATTGTAGTACCATATAGAGTATTATAGAGTATATGTAGTACCATATAGAGTATTTTCATCGCTAAAAATCCTCTGTGCTCTGCCTATTCATCCCTGCCTCCCCCTCCAAACTCTGGCCACCATTGATCTTTTTTACAGTCTTCATAGTTTTGCTTTTTCCAGAATGTTATATAGTTGGAATCGCCAAGTGTGGAGCGTTTTCAGGTTGGCTTCTTTCTCTTGGATATGCATTTAAGTTTCCTCCGTGTCTTTTCATAGATTCATAGACAGCTCATTTCTTTTTAGCACTGAATAAAATTCCATTGTCTGGATAGATCACAGTTTATCCTTTCATCTACTGAAGAACATCTTGGTTGCTCTCAAGACAATTATGAATCTGACGTCTTCTCTCCTTTATTCCCCTGGTCTCTTCTTTACCTCTGCCTTCATTATTGTCTCTGTTTTTCTCTTTCAGTTCTTCCTTTTTTTCCTTAATTTTTTCTTCCTCCTCTTCTCTTTCTCCTATCCTTCTTGCTCCCTCATCATCTCCAATTTCTGAGGCTATAGGGGTGGGGATAGGTCTATGGGGGAAGAAATTACCATAAGCCAGGGCTTTTCAATTGTGCCATTATTATTTGGGGCTGGACAAGTCTGTGATGGGGGCTGTCCTGTGCATTGCACAATGTTTACCAGCATCCCTGGCCTCTACCCACTAGATGCCAGTCATAGCCACCTGGCTCCCAGCTGTGACAACCAAGTATGTCTCCAGACATTGCTGAATGTCCCCTGGGGGACAAATTTCAACACTGCTATATGTTTCTCCAAGTACCATTGATTGAAACACAAGTCCTAGAAAAACACTGAGAAAATAAAGGTTTGCACAGAGGAAATGCTGCTAGAATCCCCTCTGGCAGATTCATAATCGTACTCTGATTTAAAGGTCCTAACAAGTCCTACAGTGAAGTAATCTGCTTATCTTTGGTGAACCCATAATTACTCAATTTTATGTGATCTTGAAATCTTTTTCTGCGTTTTCTCTGTTATTCACCCAGTTTGGGAATGAGTGCCCTGTGCTCTCCCCAACCCCAGGCTCACTTCCCTAACCCTGGATTCCCTCTACTTATGTTTCACACTTACCAGTTGGCTGCAAGAGAGGAGGGTGGTTGGCTGTCAGGTTTACTGGGGAGCAGGTGCAGAGATTCAAGATTTGTTGTCCTGGGCTTCAATGTCCATTTCAAAGTTGGACATACTTTAAAGCCAAGAAATTGAAAGGTACCCTTAGGTGACTATAAAAGGGACTTGGGCAGTGGTTCCCAAACTTTGCTGTGTAGTGGAATCACCTGAGGGTCTTTGACAAATACTGACACCTGGACCCCACCTTAGACATTATGATTTAATTGATATTGGCTGTGACAGGGCAGCAGGGCATTAAAAGCTCCCCAGGTGATTCCAATATGTAGCAAAGTTTAGGAATCACTGTATAGGACAGTTAAGCCTTCTGATTCTCAATGTAATGCTCCATTCACTAATAATGAAGATAAATGAGTAGTCACATGTTAAGGAAAATTTACCCATTTTGCTGATGGGAAAACTGATCTTTATATTGAGACAGACAAGAGTTTGAGACTGGAATATCATCACTCCTCATCCATTGTTCATGCTGGCTAAATTTCTGAGACTTGAACAAGCCAAAGGCAGTCACCCATACCCACAGAACTCTTTGCACCCCACTTTTCACTTGATATGACCTCCAGTAATCCTCAGAGCCGTGTAAGGAAGGCAGTATCATTTCTTCCACAGAAATGGAAACAGGAACTCCAAGGGATTTGCAGGGGTTAGCCAGCTAATAGGAGCCAAAGAGGGACTTCAATGTATACCAAATGACTGCAGATCTCAAATTCCTTCTATGAGATCAGATTGCCAAGTAACCCTGGTCTTTGAAAATTAAGTTTAAAAGTGGCTTTGGGACCAGGAGTGGTGACTCACCTCTGTAATCCCAGAACTTTGGGAGGCTGAGGTGGGTGGATTACTTGATCCCAGGAATTTGAGACCAGCCTGGGCAACATGGTGAAACCCTGTCTCTACAAAAAAATACAAAAATTGGCTGGGCACAGTGGTATGTGCCTGTAGTCTCAGCTTACTCGGGAGGCAGAGGTGGGAGGATCTCTTGAGCCAAGGAGGTTGAGGCTGTGGTGAGCTGAGATCACAGCACTGCACTCCAGCCTAGGTGACAGAGGCTCAAAAAAAATTGTTTTGGTGTCTGTTTCTCAGATTTAGGAACTTGTCAAGTCTTACTCAAAATAGCATCAGAAATTCCAAAGAAGGGAGAACAAAATGACAGGAGTATTTCCTCTCACTGACTACGCACCTAATTTTCATACAGGGTAGGTAACTGATGTCTACACAAAGGCTAAATCATTTATCCCCGCTTGCCATCAAAATCTGAAAAATGGGAAGTTGCTGTTGATAGGCCTCTGGCCCTTTGCTATTTTTTGCCCTCCTATATTTGGTAAATTCATCATTCAGGGCATCATGACGTACCATACTTTGTTTAAGTCAGTATAATAACCCTGGAGTATAGGGTTCTTTTATTTTATTTTGTATGAAACCAAATTGATTTCTGTGATTCCAGACAGTGACAAGACAAAAGGCACACTCCCCATGTTTGTGTTACAAATATTTAACTTGGATTAATGTATATAACAAGAGTCTGATGTTTTCTCACAAGCTGACAGAACTCAGAGAACATAATACTATTTAACAATGTCAACTTTCTCTGTCAGGCATAATCTAAATGGGTGGAAAATTAGCAAGATGAGCCATAAAATATCATTTTTATGGAGTAGGGGAGATTTACTTCAAAACAATGTTTCATTGTGTAATGCAATCTGTCATAGATTAGTTAACAGTCTAGCAGGATCTAACCTCTTGTGGAATGGAATGAAATTCCGTTCTTCAAGGAGAGTGTCCTTTAAGCATCTAGATTCCTTTCTCAGCTTTTTCTTTGTCTAACTCCTGGTCTAACCTTAAGTCCTTCTCTAGGAACCAAAGTTGTTTCCTCTTGCAGGGCAGGTCTTGGCTTCATTCTAAACATTCAACTTTTCCTATCTTCTTCCATTTGGCCTTTAACTTGGCTGGCTTTCTTGATTGCTGGAGTAAACCCTCCTGCTGAGTTGGCTGAAACCTGTCAATAGGTCTATCTGGTTCTGTAAGTTGTGGATCAGGTCAAATAAAGAGGAACATTCAACAACAAAAATAAAATCCTAAGCCCCCCAGCCAACTGAATAGGCCTCCCTTTCTTAGCCAAGGAGACCTGAGAGGAACCTTAAAACTGAATTTGCAGCCACAATGGGAAGGGAGGTCGGATGTGCCTCATAATACTGCCCCCTTTTGGAGTTTAGGCAGAACTGACCAGCGTTAACATTGAAATAGAGATCAACAGACTGAAAAAACAGACTCTGTGGCAGTAAGATACCAAATTCCAACCTTCTGGCATAGCATCATATGACAGCAGACCCCAAAAGAAATAAAAATATTTTACCCCAAAATATATTTCTTTGACATATTTTGAAATGGCCCTGAAAAACTGTCTCTTGAGGGGAGGAGGCAGAATTTGCATCTACAGAGAATTTTCATTAATGCAACTAGGCCTTCCCTTTCTAGGTCTTTCCCAGATCTAGGAGAGATTAAATGATAACCTGACACCTTTAAGGTCTGAAAAGAGACATTTAATATCTATTCTTGCTGAAGTCTGCTACTGGAAGCTTCACCTACATAATAAAAACCTTGGTCTTCACAATCCCTCTTTAACACAAGCATTTCTTTCTACTGATTTTGAATCTTTAGACAAAGCATAAATTTTTCAACCAGTTGCCAATCACAAAATCTTTGAATCCACTTGTGACCTATAAGCATCCCTCCCATCCCACCTTTCATGCCACATACCCCCGCCAGGTATATATGGGATGTATACCTTCCATGTATTGATTTATGATCTTACCTATAATTTCTGTCTCCCTAAAATGCATAAAACCCAAATTGTAACCTGACTGCCTTGGGCATACTTTCCCAGGATCTCTTGAGACTGTTCCCCGGCTGTAGTCACTTATATTGGTTCAGAATAAACCTCTTTAAATATTTTACAGAGTGTGGATTTTCTGTTAACACTAGTTAATGGAATCTCCAGAATTAGTTTGGGGAGGACATTTCAACAGGGAAATCATCTATGCAAGGATGGTCATCCAGAGCTTAGCAGAGAGTGCCAACAATAGGAAACAGAATCAAAACAACTCTGAAGGAAATGCTGTTGGTTTCTGTATGCCTCAGATTCCATTCTTGAACTCTTCCCTTTCTGAGGAATTTCCATAAAATAGGGTGACCTCAATCTGCGTGTTGTCAATGCTTGCTGGAGTCCAGTGTTAAGCTGGGCAGAGCAGGAAGCAGCTGAAAGGAGGGTAAACTGACACAATGTATCTGATCGAGGAAGTCGAGACTCCTAAATCCTCCTTAGTCTCTGTCCGCGTATTGTCCTCCATATTGAATTTCTGATTCATCATGGCAAACATCTTTTACTGGGGAGCCATGTCATTTTAAGAATATTCTGGGTATTCCAAGAATGGCTGCTGGGAATCAGTTTTCTTTCCATTCATAATATTGAGCCTGAGTTGGTCTCCCGGTCCTTTTGCAGCAGACAGAATGCTTGTGCTTGGAGTTGCCCACCT